CATTGGGCTTTTGAAAGCATTTGAACAAAAACACCCGTATAGACAGAACGTTGACTTGATACACAGCCGCTAAATGATGAGAGACCATCCATGGTGGACTTCCACTTGCAGTGATACCAAACACACACCACAGCTCATCTGGAGATCAAGGACAGCTCAGCTAACACAGGCCAAATGGTTCAGCAGAAGAAAAACCGACCTAAAGCAAGCAGAGTAACTCCCAAGAGAAATGAGAAAACTGCAGCCAGAGCAGTGGAGTAGCCAGTGAGCAGAGGCATGTGACCAGTGGAAGTCCATTTGTCCATCCTTCCTTTCTCAGTGACTAAAAGCAACCTTCATAAAATATTTATTGAGGATCTGGGAGTGTACAGCACGAGTCTCCCGGCTTCTGTTTTCAGGACTCTAAATCCCCCAGTAAACCTCGTGCCCTTAAGAGTTTGGGCTGCTGGAACAAAGTCCTGCAAACCAAGTAGCTTATAAATAACACATTTCTTTCTCACAGTCCCGGAGGCTGCAGACCCAATGCCAGCTGTGCCAGAGCGCGTAGATCCTGATGAGGCCCCTCTTCAGAGCTGTGGTTTGATGGCTTCTCACCACAGCCTCGAATGGGAGAGGAGACAAGAGTGTTTTCTGGAGTCTTTAATAAGATCACTGGTTACACTCATAAAGTTGCCATTCTCGGGGTCTTCATCACCCTCCAAAGGTCCGGCCTCCTAGAACTGTAGCAATGGTGTTAGGTATCAGCATGTGAACCTAGGGGTGACAGGACACACTCAGTCCTTCACACTAATTCCAAAGAGCATGCTAGAAAGGTGAAATTCAAAGTGTGTGTGTGTGTGTGTGTGTGTGTGTGTGTGTGTGTGCATGTGAACACAGATAGATAGATAGATAGATAGATAGATAGATAGATAGATAGATAGATAGATAGATAGACATATATATGTAATTTCTTAGGAAACTCCTTCCTTATTTCTCAGGAGAGAGTTTCAACTAAATTTTATAACCTGAATTAAGCAAGTTATAATCATATCTAAGGAGTATTACTATCTAATATAGAACCAGGGGCTGTTTATACAGACAGGAGAATAAAATGAAATAGAGCACAGATAGCTTAAAGCGTGAAGTGGCTCAGCGTTTCAGACAGCTTACTATTGCAGCAGAGATCACAGAACTGATGTGACGTAAAATCCCTCGGTTCATACTTAAAAGACAGCAAGCAGCACAGAGCTTGCCCGTAGAACTAGGAGGAGCTAGGGGGGCGGGGTGGGGGGACGGACATGGTTTGGGGAAACTGGCCTGCAGTGAAAAACGATTGGCAGTTATCTCCATAGCTCTCAGTTCAGTATGAAATGAAGGCCAGCCTGTTCATAGGGGTGGAACGGGCAGGTGGGGACAGGTGGGGAGGGTCTGTGATGGTTATCCTTGTCGGCTTGATCGGAACCGGAGACACTTAGGTCATTACATCACACCCCTGTGTGGCCTGGGCAGGTGACGCCACAGGTGGCTGAGTGGAGCTGGTTCCACTGACGGATTCAAAACGGAAGATGGAAAAGTGGCGAATCAAGGAAAAAGGAGTCTCCCTGGTGAGTGAGGTCACTAGAGGACGTCTTTGAAGGCTATGCCTCCTCGGCCCTTCTTTTGCCTCCTCTTGCATGCCAGCTGCATGCACTAAAATCCTTCCCCTCTGCACATGCGCACTACCAGGATGTCAGCTCACATCAGGCGTAAGTAATGGAACCGGACGACCCTGGACCAAAACTAAACCAAGATTAGCCCTTTCTTCTCTATGCTATTTGTTCAGATAGTTTGTTGTAGCATGGGACACCTCCACCCTCGGTTAGCTGCAGAAACTTTGGTTCAAGGTAGTCCTGAGCACAGAATGTGTCCTTCATTTCCCGTTTACATTAAGTTATGGGATAAAGAGGTCATGTTTAACTACAAGCGGGCGTTAGAGGAGCTCAGAGGACCGTTCTCTCTGTTGACAGCTACCATGGGCTTTTCCGGTGACTTCAAAAAAGGCAGTTGTTGTGATATTCAAGCTTTCTGTAAAGGTAAATAAGAAAAAGGCAGTCTTCAGTGCTAAGGAGTAATTTCTTTTCCCCAGCTCTCATTAGAGGAAAATCAAGTATTAGGCGTCTTTATTCTAATGAAACACTTTTTTATATTTTTGGGTTTGTTGTTATTGTTGTTGTTTTGAGCCAATGTCTCATTCTGTAACCAACATTGGCCTGGAATCAGTATGTGGCTCAAGTTGGCTTCAAACTCCTGCTCCTGCCTCAACCGTCTACATACTGGGATTACAGAGGTGTGCCACCACACCCAAACTCTCTAATGAAGTTAAAATTTGGACAAATTAGCTCTCTTTATACTCTGTTGTTTGTAAAAGCATTTGTGATTTTAATGTGATAATTTAAAGAAAGGCTTACCAGTTTTTGATAAATAAAATGTTTTTTTAAAAGATGATCATAGAGATGGCACAAAGGATAAATAAAAGTGCCTACTGTGTGTGCGAGGGCCAGAGTTCAGATCCCGAGGACTCACCTGACATCTAGGCAGGTATAAAGGCTGCCTGTAATCCCAGTGCTCAGAAGGCAGAGTCTCCCAGGCAAGCTGGCTGGTTAGACTAAGCAGAGTTGGTTCAGAGGGAGACCTTGCTCAATGAATAAAATGGTGAGCAATCAAGAAAGATCCTTGACATCAACTTTAGGCTTCCACATACCTGTGAATACATGAGCACATACACTACACCACATCATACCACACAGACATACACACACACAATGATTCCAGATATAACTTATTGGTAGAATACTTGCCTAGAATGCCTGAGGCCTTGGCTTTAGTTCCCAGCACAGCCAAAGGAGAAAAAAAAATCAACAGAGAATAAGATAGCCCAAAATTGTTTAAACTACTCTATATACATACATACAAACAAACATACGCACACATATATAAACACCAATACATATTCCTTGAGAGGGCATTTGGAAGCAATATTGGTTTCCTTAATTTAAAAAAAAAAAAGAGATAATACTGGAAAGATGTGTTAGTGTCTAAGAGCACGATTGCTCTTGCAGGAGACCACGGTTTGATTCTCAGCTCTCACGTGGTGGCTCACAGCCGCCTGTTTAGTCTCTCCAGTTCCAGGAAATCGGACGCCCTCTTCCAATTCCTACGGGTACCGGGCATGAACATGGCGCACACAGAAGCATAAAAGCGGACAAAACGCTCGTAGTCATAAAATAAAGACGTTAGAGCTAAGATGAAAGCAACATGTACATTGTCGAATTCAAAGTGCGCTGTTAAATACATCCAGCATTCGGTGGACTCCAGCTCAGACCTGGGGCAGATGGTAGCTAACAGCGTAGATGGTAGTGTGCCTGGAGGCAGGAGGGGCTAGGGCAGGGTGCCCGGGAAAGGGGAGTGACGGAGGGAAGGATCTTCTCAGGGCAGGAAGGTTAGCTAAAAAGAAAAAAATCATCCTAGGCTGCTACTGCCTTCCCCTCGAGAGAGAAAGAAGAGAGGGGGAGAATGTGCTAAAATGAGAATGCATGAAAAAGGCATTCAAACGCTGAAGAATTGAAGAATGGCTCCAGAAAGGGAGCAGGCAATCTGCGGCACTGGCTGTCCCCCTTCCTCGGCCGGGTGTGCCCGGTTGCCCCCTCCCCCGCCCCGCCCTTTCTCAACTTGTACGCCTCCCTCCCCGCAAAATCCTCAAAATCCTCTATCGAAAGAACTGTAGCTGCCTGTGTTGTCAGAGCTGGTCCTCCCCAGGACTGTCTGTAGACACTGAGGAACTTCTCACTGACAACCAGAGAAAGCGAGGGCCTCGGGAACCCCTGAGAAGCGGAAGACGGGAGGAAGATTGCTAAGGAGCCATTAGTAGCGTCTGACTCTCTTTATGATTACAAATGAAACAGCGCCCTGGTGATCCCTGGTTCGTCATGGGATGATGGGGGGGGGGGGGGGTGCACGCAGAGGGAAGGCTCTTGATCCATCCTCTGCTGCACTTCCAGGCAAATGGAACGATCCCCTTTATAATAGTCTAGACACAGCGGGTGTAGCGGTGCCCACAATTAACCGCAGCCAGCACTCAGGGAGGCAGAAGCAGGCGGGTCTCTGGGTTTGAGGCCAACCTGGTCTACAAAACGAGTCCAGGACAGACAAGGCTACACAGAGAAACACTATCTCAAAAACAAAACAAAACAAGCAAACAAATAGTCCAGACACCACTGCGAGTCCAGCATAGCTCAGCCCACTGGGCAGTTTCTTCTGTCTTCTCCAGCAATCCTTTCCCTCGTTTGTTTGTTTCTGCTTTTGCTTTTAAGCAGGCACTCACCTAGCCCAGGCTGGCCTCAAATTCACCACGCGGAAGAGGGTAGCCTCGAACTTCTGGTTTTTCTGCGTCTACCTCCAGAGGGCTAGGATTCCAGGATTTTGCGTGGTGCTGGGGATGGAACCCGGGGCTTCGGGCAGGCTTGCAATAGCCTCAGCCTCCAATCCTTCTTCCGTAAGAAAAACAGTGAGTGCCCCCCTCCCCTTAACCTCAAGGGATATTGGAAAGAAATCCTGAGACGGTATGAAAAACAAAGCAGGGTGGAGTGGGACTGGTTGTTTGACTCTGATTTTTTTTTTTTTTTTACCCGCTCAAAAGATGTTTCTGACGTAGAAGTTTCCTTGGTGTTCCTTGGGCGTGTGGGCGTGTACAACCTCCTCTACACACCGCTCTGCAAACCCCAGGCAATCAGTTACTAGGGAGAAGTTACAGTTCGGCCTCCTACGAAGTTTGACCTACTAGTCCCATCCTGGGTGGGTGGTCCTTCTGCTTCCTTTGGCAAAAACTGACTTGTGATACATAGTTCGTGGGTGTCAAAGGTGCTCTGCGGGGTTGGCACACTTCCTGACTGACAGAACACCCCTGCCTTTGCCTCAGGCCCAGGGTGGCGGTGGCAGTGGGAGGAGCGACCAAGTTTCACTTCCTTGCTTAGCCAGAGACTCGGGCCCAGCAGGCTGCTATCTTAACTGAGGAGCAGTGTGTCCAGCGAGGGAGCCCAGCTCTCTCTCTTCATCCATCACCTGGCTGGAGTCAGCAATCAGAAGCAGAGGAACGAATGGGCAGAGCAGAACTTCAAGGAGGGAACATGAGTACCCGGGCTCCCTCAGGGCTGTGGAGCTCATCGGATGAAGGTGCAGACCTGCTCCAGGACTTGGGGTAAGAGCGCTTTCTCAGTGAGTACAGTTTCTCACTCCCATGTCGACCGTCACTTGGATCAGGGAGTGTTTTCCTTCTGCCACCCCGATCTTCTACCTGGCCATCTTATAGATTTGGAGGAGCTTCCTTCTGAGGGGCTGGTTCATTGTAAAAGTGTAAGATGTTTTTCTAAAAGTGCAAACAGTTAGATTGAGATAGTGAGACAAATATCAACGGTTGGGCATTCTTATGAGTTGGGCCAGAAGGGGGACGCGTGCACAGAGTTGCCTGGTTTCTTGGCTGCTGAGATGGCTTATCTTTGAGCCGAGGTGGCGGGGAAATGTGTCACCGGTTCCATAAACAGAGAAAAAGAACGAGGAAGTCAGTACAGCAATGTTGTTTAAATGGTTGCTGTCTTCTCACAGGGCCTGTGAGCTTTGGCGGGGAAGTGTTCTCTGTACAGGCAAACACAGCCTTTCAGACGAATGAGATAACAACAGTTCTCTTTCAGACGGGCAGGTTTAGGTTAGGTGAGATCATCAGAGCCCATCAGAAGGGACCCCAATGACACTGGTGATGTTTAGTGAACAAGGAAGGGCTGCTGGGACAGGAAGGGACTTTCCTTAGGTACCTTAGACTTGCATTTTCCGAGGGAGGGAAGCTGGACCTGCTTTCCACATAAGCAGCTGGAATTCCTCGTCACCCAGCAACATCAGAAATACTGTCACCTTGCTGAGGATGACAGTTAGCACCAAAGAGGTTTAAACGCCGTCCTTATCAGTCACATCAGTGAAACAACAAAGCCAAGACACCCACCTGCCAGGGGCTCCCTCCCCTGTGAAGATGGGTTTAAATCTCTGTTTATACTGCAGAGATTGTATCTGTGTGTGTGTGTGTGTGTGTGTGTGTGTGTGCTGTGTTACTTAATGTAAGACTTTCCTAGCACCCCACTGGCTCAGCAAGTAAAGGTGCTTGAGGCTAAGCCTGACAACCAGAGTTCAGTCCCTGGAACCCAGATGGTGGAAAGAGAGAACCAACTCCTCCACAGAGCTGTCACCGCAGGTACCCGCCACACGCGCACACACACGCACACGAAACACGTACACGGATAATTATAATAAACGCTCTAAAAATAGCTCTCAGTGATTCCTTACATTTAAATACAGAGCTGAGGTCTCGGTGTGGGCCTGTACCCTCATCTGACGCCGCCAGCTAGGATTTCCAATAAAGGAAACTCCCGATGAGGCCTCCAGAGCTCCGAAATCTCTTTGTGCTTCTCTTGGAATAAAATGACAGAAGAAGCAAGGGCCTCTTCACCAAGGCAAGCACACAGTGACAGCCTTACTGGCCAGCTCCCAAGATTTTGTAACTGAGCTTTCTGCTCCCTCAGTTCCCTGAAGAGACCCCAGAGGAGAAGTCGGACCCCAGGAATAGTCAACTCTGTCTCTTTAACTAAACAAATCCTGAAAGCAGGATCTATGCTTCAGAGCTCTCAGCCTACAAGGAGGACTCAAATGAACCTGACCTTGGGTCTGTGCCCCACACCGAGGCAGATGGGTGCAGGACGAAGCCAGTGCAGGCGAACCCCAGGCTTCCCTTCCTGGGCAGAGAATAGAGTCCTGATACTAAGTCCAGGGCGCCCAAAAGAGGTGGTGCAGTTGTATCTAGCTTTCTTCATTTCAGGAGACCTGGAAAGTTCTTTAACGTCAGAGTTTGGTTTAAGGAACAAGGCAACCTTCAGTCGCTGAAGAAACTGTTCTCTATAGTATGGCTCTCAACGTACTAGACAGACAGAAGGAAATTTTTATTTGCTTATTTTTTTATTCTTGTTTTTATGCTTGACACGGGTCTCCAGTAGCTCAGCCTCCAATTCAAGGTTACTGGCGGTGACTTAACTTACTTGATCTTTCTGACTCCAGCTCCCAAGGGTTTCGATTATAGGTGTGTGGCAACCACGCCCCGCTAATGGAGGTGTTTGCTTCCTTTAGTGGAGGCGAACACTCTACCAGCTAAATTGCTTCCTGAGCCTCTGTCTTGTTTTAATTATCCGTGCCCCTGCCATGCATGGCAAAAGAAAAAAAAATCTGTCTCTGGGGTGAACATTTGTTTCTTTCCTCTACATGTCTCTAAAGCAAGACTGGAATTAAGAATCAAAGTATACAATGTATATTCTCGGAAGTGTTGGGCACGGTTTTACCATGTATTTTAATTCCAGAACTTATTAGTGATTTTAAAATTCAGACCCTAAATTTTAAAATCACTAATAAGTTCTGGAATTCTGTCTAGGAGTTTGGGGCCTTGTGGTTAATAGCTTTTTTGAGGTACATTTTACATATGATGAATTCACCCATTTCAGCTTAAGGGTGTAACTGTCACTATAGTCAATGTAGGTTCCTCCCTTGAAAAACAGTAAGGAGCACAGTTCATTTAAACATACTCAGTGGTCTACCTGTATGGGGAACAAAGACAGCCTTGATTTCCAGAATTCCTTTATTTTTTCAATATTGGCCAGTTTGAGCTATTTGCTCTACCAGGGAATAAACAAATTTCAAACTGCTGAGGACTTGACCTTCATTCTGCAAAACTGAATATTTAATCACCAAAAAGAGCCAGCCAGCCAGCCCTTGCCCCTGGCACACCAGTGATAGGCTTCTCATAAGAGATAGCTGAGGAATCTTGGCAAGGACCTGTTGCCTCTGGCCTACTTCTGAATATAAATGAAACTTGTTCTTTGAACCTTTAATCCACTTTGGATCTGTACAAGCCTCAAGAATAATCCAGTTTTTTTCAAAGCTCCATTAAAAAAAAGTTTGTTTATTTATTCATTCATTCATTTGTTTGTTTGTTTTGGTAATGGAGAGACAAGGATGTCTAGGTTTAATGACTTGAATTTTAAAATTATTTTAGTGGGTTATTTCGTCAGGTGGGATGAGAGCAGGGGCCTTGTGTGTTTCACCTGGATGTGAAGAGATGATTTAGTGGCAGCATACATACAGAGAATGGGGTGGGGACTAATCTTGGTTCTCTGGGCCTCATTTTATTAAAGGCTCTGGAATATGGAAATACTCTGAACTGGACCCAGAATGGCAGCAAATCCATCCCTGGCCCTCCCAGAACACACAGGACTTTGGCAGAACACTGGCTGCGTAGTCTCTAAAGGAGATATGGACCCAATCAAGCCACTTAGTTCCTTCAAAGTGCCAGCCCCAAAGCACTTGTTTTCTGCTTCAGTGCATTAGTGAGCCCCAAAGGAGAGGGGAAGCGAAGTGTATTTGTTGTGTAGGTGTAGAAATGGACACGTGCAGGCCCAGGGAGCAAGGCAGGGGAGGCTCAGCTCTGGGACCAACTAGGTCTACTCCTCCATTTTCCAAACCAAGTAGTGGGATAGGTCAGGCGCTGAGAAACCCAACACTCCAGCCATTCAGCAATAGCTCCCCATGCCCAGCACCCGAGCAAGCACAGGGCCCCGGGACCACAGGACCACCAGAACTCAGGGTGGGCAGTGGTATGCATGGACCTTGTGTCCAGTGTTTCAGGTCCTGTTTGCTAAGGGATTCTAATCTACCCACCAACAGGCCTGCACAGAGAGCGAGTGACAGAGGAACAGCCAGCCAGGCCACACTCAGGTTCACCAGGACACGCAGACAAGGGCCAAAGGGGTGGGTATTCCTGTGGCTTGTTTATGGTTCAAAACAGGAAAAGCTCCAGGGGAATTTCCAAGCTTTTAACTGATCATAAAGCAGATCCAGCTATCAAAGGAAGGTGATGCAAGAAGGACAGCAGTTGCCATGGCAACATCTGCTGGTTTAAATGAAAGAGTGCAGAGATTAAGATGGATATGGATTAAGCTTGGAAAGTCAAAACCAGAAATGCCCTCAAAATCGATGGAACTTGTAAGGAAAAGAAGAGAGGCCCTACCATTATGTTCTTTTTTAGAGTCCCTGGAATTCCAGATAACAGCTGCCAGGAAGGCCCCATCCCCTCTGATACCTTCCTAGCCTCAGGCAAATTACATAGGCGTTCGAACTAGGAGTTGGATGGGTCCAGCCTGAAGCTAACGAAATGGTCACGAGTAAACATCTGATCTTTTTTTTTTTTTTAAGTAAGTGTTTGTATATACAGATACGTTCTTTTCAAGGACTGACATTTTAATGAGGGCGAATCAGTCTGAGAGACCTAAGCAGTTTGCAAAGCTGAAATCATAGGTTATGACATAACTTTTAGAACTAGATGGCTCAATGTGCAGAGAAACATAGGAAGCTGTTTTTGTTTGTTTGTAATGAGAGTTTGTCTGTCCTTATTTGATTTACAGTGGGGATGGTGATGTGAGTGATCCCAGCACATGGGATGCTGAAGCAGGATTTGTGAGTTTGAGGCCAGTCTGAGCTATACAATGAGGCCCTGTCTTTAAAAAGGGAAAAAGGAAGAAGAAGAAAAAGATAGGAAGGAAGGAAGGAAGGAAGGAAGGAAGGAAGGAAGGAAGGAAGGAAGGAAGGAAGAAAAGAAACCAAAGCCTTTACTGTTTCTCACATGTAAGAGAAAGTCAGAGCCTGGCAAAAAACAAAACAGCAAAGTCATCTTTGCAGTAAAGGTAAAGGTAACAAATGATTTTTGGCTTTGCAACCTTAGTGTGTCAATTACTCATACGTGCGGCTGTTGCACCAAAGAAACATTAAAGAGCCTACACACAGATGACGTGATTGTGCCCAAACGACAGCAAGTGGATTTTATATACAATTTTCAGGCGGACACACACACACACACAATGTTTTTTTTTTTTCCTTGCTATTTCAGATTGTTCAACCATTCTTGGTTTTCAGTCCTTACAGAACAAGTAGTTGGAAGAGCTGACCCTTGCTAGCCCAGGAAAGCCATGAGGATAAGCACACTGAGTCCCCATTTAAAGGCAGGCATTTGTGCACACTCAACGCTGGCTTCCAGAGGCACACCCCCTCCAGCTTTACGCTCGGACGTGAGCAACCCGGCAGGTAAAGTTCCAGACTGTCTAGGTCCAATGCACT